ACACACACCCCCGGACACCCGCGGGGCGCCGGGCCCTGCCGCTAGAGCCCACTGAAAGGTCCACGGAAAATGTCGGTAAGGCGACGGAAGGAGCCACTCAGCAGGGCAGGCCAAGCGGGAGCAGAGGGGGACACCACGGCTTCCAGCTAGCCGGTCTCTCGGGGACACCCATCCAACAGAGTAGAGACAACAGTCTCTACTCCCCTCTCCTTCACATACTTTCCACCCTAGAAGTTTAGCAAACAGACTGTCTTTGTGAACTGACGGCAAGCCTAAGGCCTGTGCAATCGACCCGCCCTTGGCCTCCCCGGCTCACAGCAGTACCTGCAGGCAGGACCCAGTGATTTGCTGCGATTATGTTTTCCGTCTCTTCTTCCAAATTTTCGCTGCTGGGGCCATCTTCATTCAGCTGGAAGACGTGGAGTGCAACGGTGCACGCGCTCAGGTCGATGGGCTGTGGTGGCGGGAAAAGGCGGAGACCTGCATGAATCTGACACCCTTTAGTTCCAGGTTTACACGTCGCACGTCAAAGTCCGAGACTTAAATGGAATGTGCGGTAACGTCAAAAACCAGTTCTCAGGGCCCACAGATGGCAAAGAGGCTACGTCACTGGACTCCCATGTGGTCGACCGCGGTTCGAGCCCCTGGTGGCTTGAAACTTGTGCCAGGAGTGTGTGTGTGCATGCCCGAGATTCCAGAAGGGGATGCAGCGTGGCCGTCGGGGGGGGGTCATTTCTCACTTTTCTCACCATCTCTGTCTCTCTCCAGCAAGTGCATGCACCCTGAGGCAAAAAACCTCAAAAAAGAAAAGAAAAGAAACTAGTTCTTACACCAGCCTGTGGCACGGTAGTTAAGGCAGCTGAATCCCATGTGGCTGGCTGCACGGCTGGAGTCCTGGACACAACAGCTTCCAAAACATACCATGTATGCATGCACACGTGCCTGAAAGCCCAGAGACGTGAGGAGATGCGACTGTGGCATGACCACCCTCACAAGGGGTTCTTTCTCTCCCCCTCTCTCCAAAGTACATATATCCTCTGACAAATTAAAAAAGCAAACAAAAAACCCCAGTACTTGGGTTAGATGAAAGGCTATCATTTCATTTCAGATTTAAAATGAGCTCTTTTGAAAATGTTCATCCAACCTTCTCCCTTTGGGCCCTGTCCCTACATAAAGAACTTAACTGGCTTTTACATTTTTTTAACGTATGCGTGTTAAGTACGAACACCGTAGGAGGAGAGATCCCTAAACCCGGCCTCAGAGACGCTGTGATCGGTAACACACGCACACATATCTGACCAAATGTGGAGCTCCACTGTCTCCCGATGGCTGCTTTTCCCAGATGGCTACAGCTTGCTGAGGCTCTCCACCAGTGCACGGAGGGCTATTTTGCTCTTTCTAATGGCTGTGTCATATTCCAGTTGGTGGGCAGTTAAAGTATTTCTAATGTTGGCTCCCCCAGTGACACAGACAGCTATGAAACAAGCCGCCCATCAGCATCCGTGGGGTGCTGGTTGTAGGCGCCCCGGCACCCCAACCCGGGAACGTGCCTCCTTCTCGTGTAAACGGCACCACAGACGCCCCCCGCCTTACAGTCACAAATGTACTCGATGCCGTGGTGGCTTCACGTGGGCAAAGCTCTTCAGTCCAGATATTCCTTAACTTATAATAAGGCCATATCCTGGCGAATTAATAAAATCACAAGTTAAGCCATTCTAAGTCAAGAATCGCCTACATTAAAAAAATAAATGATCCGTTTTATTATTATTATTATTTTAATTTTACCAGAGAGAGACAGAGAGAGAAAAGTGAGAGAGCAAGCCACCAGGTCTGGGACTCGAACCTTGGTCAGCCATGTGGGAGTCCAGGGTCCTTAAGCACTATGCCTCCTGCCGGCCCCTCACCTACATCAAGTCATCTCTAGATCAGTTGTAATACTCTAGCCGATGCTAATGCTGCATAAATATTTGCTATCCTGTATCTTAAAACCATGTGATTATTTGTTTTACCGAAACGTCTCTTCAACCCGAGGTTGGCTGAATCTGTCGCACAGACCCCATGGAGAGCCTGCTTGTTAAGACTTGCGCCTATGACGGACCCGCAGTCAAAGACGGAACCCTAAAACATACAAGGGGTCACCCCAACACCCCCCGTTAGGCTGTGCTAAACTCTTCTCCACTCGTGGGTTGGACAGCTCCTCCACTCCCCTTGGTCAGAGCCAAGGGCGAGGCCATTAGGTATCGGTGTGAAGGGCACTGACATGCCACAGTACCAGTCCTCATTTAGGAACGGCCCTTGTAAGCAAATCTCCCATGTCAAGCCTATTCAAAATCGACGCTTTGTGAGACAAGAACCGCACGCTTCCGAGCGGCACATCTTCCTAGGGATGTTTCTGGCTGTGCTTACACCAGCTCCCATGCTCCGCAGGGCTTCCCCAGCTCCCACAGTGGGACCAGCCACGCGAGGAGCGTCTGACGGCCCAGCTAACACCCCATGAGCACCAGCCACATCGTCCTGTCCGACGGCTGCCAAGGCTCAGAGCGCGCTGCCGCCAACCCCACGCCTGGCCGCCCAGTTCCGTCGGCTACACGGACCAGTTCCCGACAGCACACTGTCAGGGCAGCAAGACAGGCAGGAGGCCGACTGGGCCGCGTGATCACTGTCCTTGGCATGAGGCCGACTGGGCCCCGGGATCACTGTCCTTGGCCCCGTGGCGTTAGGTTACCTGCGGGTCTTTAACCTTTAAGTCTGTGTCGACTATAGACACAGAGTGCACATGCCGGGTCAGAAAAGGCTCGTCGAACTCGGTCCACGTGTAATCGCCGAACACCACGCTGTGCCTGCCGAGCAGCTTCCTCACGCTCAGCTTTATGTCTTCTTTTTTTGCAGTGCTGAGAGAAAAGAAAACAAAAGATCAGAGCTAAGAAAGGAGGTTTTAAGATCGTTTCAGGCACTCGGAGCTTTGGCTGAAAGGCCAGGCTGGAGCAGTCACCTGCCGGTGCTCCCTGGCCAGGCTGTGTGGCCTCAGGCAGGACAGTGACTCTGCCACTTCGGGAGCTCAAGTAAAGACCCAGAACTTCCCAGGTTTCTGCCTTAGGACCGGTCCCCTCCGGGCAGGGATCGCAGCCCTGGGGCGCCACGTCCTGGCCCGGCGACCTTCCCCGCGGCAGGCAGGGCCGGCTGTGCCGTGTGCCAGCACCCTCCGCGGCAGCAGGGGTGCGTGCGGGTGGCTGTGAGCGCGAACCCCGGCCTG